TTTATTGATAGATACATTAGTAAATGGGCAAGCAAAATTAAAACTTGCCTGTTCCATGTGAATGCTACTGATACTAGTCTTGAACTCAGCAGAGTATTCTAGCTAGTTATGTTCATGCTTTGTTTACAGATAAATTTCGAAATTATTCATTAGTTGATAAAAAGATTAATTTCACTGCTATGTGTATTACTTTATGTATGATAAGTAAATTAATTAAGTCAAACTCACATTTTCTACAAAATCAGACTTATCAAATATTTTATCGAATTTTTTCATTATAATTATCATCCTGATCAATGCTATATGTAATTTGAAGTACAACCTTTTGCAGAGGAGTCCTAAAGTTAACCAATGAAGTCATATTCCTTAAATTATTTATGTTCAATAGTCTTGTATTTTCACTAACTCTTAACACATTATCAAGTGTTAGACATTTCGCAACCGATCTCATCCTATTGTGCATTTTTGTTCAGTTTATGAAAATATGTAAACTGATAGTCCAAATGAAATAAGAAATATTTTTCTCTTAGAGCTTTGTGACATATTTTGAATAGAAATATTTATGACAGAGTACACTATTTATCAGATTAAATTGAATAACTTCATAACATCATTGTACATGGTTTCAAATTTCTACTTATTCAAACAAACTTAACTAGTAAATAATAATTAAATTAATTTAGTTATAATATTGAATGAATTATATTTTTGAATAAAAGTAACTTGAGTCATACCGTCATATTTATGTTGTTTTTAGCTTATAGATAATAAATATTTTACACAAAGCTGCAGGATAATGAATCATTATTTGATTTCAAGATATTTATTTTTATTCTTACTGTCACCATTTGCTTTTTTGGCCCACAATAATTAAAATATAAACTGTGCAAACAATAGTCAATGATAGAAGCAAAAAAGTATTGAAATTATCCAAGTTATCTCTCGAAGTATCTCTTGAAGTATATAGTAAGAATATAAGAACTGATATAAATAACAGATTTATTGTGCTCACTGAATATTATTTTTTCGAGAAACATTTATGTAATTATCTGATGATTATATGCGTTGCCAAATAAACAGAATGACATTGATAGTGATCGAAGACCTTAAGACTGGATGGAACAACCAAACAGTTAGAAGACAGTTTACAAGCCCAAATGTGTACACGTCATCAAACTTCCATTCGTAAAACAAGTGTATTCTCAACTGTCTTCTTCTATATATCTTCTGTTTTTCAAAACACCCTGATCTCACAATGCCTCCGAATCCAACACACTGTGCTTCGTCTGTAAATTCGGAGCAAAACTCTGATGCATATTCTCTGTATACTACTTATTAGCTCCGTTTTAAGTAGTACACACCACATATGCTTATGTTATTAATACTGGTTTGTGACTTTCACTTTCCATTTTACATTATTATCTCCCTCACTTTTGATCTATTTCATTTATTCTTTAATTTTAACGAGTAAAATGTGTCAAATAGTGCTTGCGGATTAAAGTGACTGAAATCAGTTTAGGTGGCCATAAATCTTGTTATTCTTATTGAGAATGAATTTAGGGCAACGTAAAATTAAGGTTATCGATATTTATCACAAATTAAATATGAGCGATTTAATATATCTTAAGTTATTTCGCATGATTCATATGAACAACCATATAATGTATATTGTTTATACAAAATTATCGTTATATATTTGTATATTTAAACTATCTGACTGTTTTCTTACTCTATTTTATAAATGAAACCGTTAAAAGACTATTTCATTAAGTTGTTCGACTGAAGTGATTTTATTCGTTTCACTTGAAGAAGACTACGATTTTTAGACAACTATTTCCTAAAACAATTTAACAAACATATCTCAAAAATGCAGACAAAATATTTTTCTAACGTTGAAACGGAAGTTATGAAAAAATATTTATTTTTCCAGTAGTTTGAGATGTTAACTCATAAACTTTAGTAATAAAAGCATCATGCGCTACAATGAGATCATAATCAAGATTTTTTTTGTGATACTGAATTTAGTGTAGCTCTCAATTATAAGCCTTTCACGTTCTACTAAACTCAGAGGAAACTACCATGGAGAAAACTGGAAAGCAGCTATAAAAATGATCATAATTTTTAACCAAATTAAGGAAAATTATAGGGCGAAAATCATAAATAAGGAGTTGGTAGCATTTAATAACAACTCAAAAGTACTTCTTCTGAGTGAACACTTTCGAGCATCTCAGAGTGCAGATATACCGTGTATCTTATATAGTGGCAAGATTATAAACGACTCTAAAATCATTGCAAACCTTTTCAACAGTATTTTTGTAAACAATAAGGAGTACTTAACTAGCACTAGTTCAAAAGTCATTTATACGAACAGTAATTTAATAAATTCTTTTTCTTACACATATCTAGCAATAAATAGTGTTAATAACTCACTAAAGTCTCAATTAGTTATGACGTATGCGTGATTCCATCCATTCTCTTCAAATATGATAGATCTTATAAACCCCTACTTTTTCTGAAGCTGTCTACCCACACTCTCAATCCAGAGACTGGTACTTACTATGATTGTTGGAAAAAAGTCATACATCACACCACACTTTGAATCAGGAAAATTGTTGGTGAAGAAATTTCTACCTATTTGCTCAATGATAAACTTATCGTTGATAGTCAACTAGGCTTTCTTAAAAATCGATCATGTTTAAAAATCCACTGTGACCTTTTCAATTTATCCCTAACCCAACGTAACAAGGACACCTAGCCTTAGTGCTATACTTTGACTTTTTTCAAGCTTTCAAAATGGTTAACTAGCAGCTGTTTATAGGCAAACTGACGTATCACGGGACCAGAAACCCTCTACTTGCTTGGTTTAATTATTTACTCAGTCACTGAAATCAAACAGTCAAAATAAACTCCTACTTGTCAGATTCTGTCCTGGTTAAAAATGGGTTAATAAGAGCTGTCTTAGGTCCCTTCTCTTTTTAGCTTACATAAATGATATTTAAGATGGTTTCTGTTTAGGTAAGCTTTTTGTGTATGTAGAAGGCTTCAAGGTAATGTATTCATCCACTATTCATAAAACGAACCATTTGCTAAACTGAGCCAGTATGGAGCTCACTCAAGTCAACCTGTGGTACTCAAATAGAAGTGAGAGATTAACATTGATAAATGTGGATGGGTCTGTTTTGATCGTCCTTTACTTAACCTTGACCTAATTATAAATGGTAAGGTGTTATAAAAATTTCATACAGTAGAGAACTTAGGATTCAAATACTCCCATAATTTATCCTTCTGGATACCGTTATCTGGACAGATCTTCAAGTCTCAGAGTCTTCTGGGTTACATAGTTAGTAATCTCTATAACAAGGAGTTAAGGATTTTAATCTACAAATATTGTGTTCCTTCAGTTCGTGAATACTTCACGCTTTTATAGTAGTGTTCCTAATAAGTATAAATGAATGTTGGAATCCATTCACAGACGATTTACACTACACTCTCTTTGAACTAATTGTATTTTAGATTATAAATCCAGTTGTAATCAACTTAGACTGATCTGATCATTTCCTTCAGAGCACTTAATAAGTAATTTTTTGTATCCAATGCAGTTGTTAGATATTCAAAAACTATGGTTTTAGATTCCGTAACAAATTTTAGCGGCTCTAGAACAATCTACTGCAATGTAATCCATCTAATAAAATCTTTCCCATCCTTTATTCTCTGCATCAACGTCTACCCCTCCTCAGAAAATGCCTTCACTGTGCTTACAGTTCCAAGTATCTCCCATTCTACAAGTGTGATTATAGGAACCACAAATGATTAACCGCTTTATTAATGAGCCTACTAATTACCCGTTTTATTTTCAGATACTTTACACTAATACTGTCTCCAGTAAATTTAACTAATTTGAATAGTATGTAACCCGAAAATTAAAATAACCGTGTACCTGAATTACGGTAGATCTGATCAAGCAGACTGACCTATCATTGTAATAAATGCTTTTGTTGTTCCGCGCTCTCTGCTTCCGTTTTATTTTCTCTAGTCGTAGGTGGTTATAACCAATGCTTTATGTCACTGGAAACAACACAAAATACACCGTTCATGAAACAGTAGGATGTCCAGTTAAAAAGAATTAATAGTTCCTGATTGACACCTTGCAGTTTTGTAATGTATGTAAGAAAAGTACTTTCTAAACAATTTGTTAACCAGAACACTTAAAAAAATGTAACATAAAATCTCTATCCCTTATATTAAGCATTTCTTTTTATATCAAACTGACCATGCCAATAAACCGGGATGAATTCTGTAATTATTCTTCCCATAATATATTATTATTATTATTATTATTATTATTATTATTATTATTATTATTATTATTATTATTATTATTAGTAACTTCATTGATACAACGAAGAAGCTCGCTGGAAAATACAGTAAACCAGAACGGCCAGTCAAGAACAAGGAAGACAAACCAATCACTAAAAAGTGGGTAGAGCATTTTGAAGAACTTCAGAGTAAACCAGACTTTTTGAATTCACTAATGGTTGAGGCCGCACATTCCAGTCGATTTTAAATCATCAGCAATCAAAGGAAATCCTCAAGCTACATCACGAGACGCACCCTAGCTATTAATGCTCAAGTCCGAAGGAACATACTGTTCTGAGAATTAGAGACAGACATGAAAAAAGTGACGAGAAATTGGTTAGAACTAGAAAGGAAGGCCCAAGACAGAATTAGTTGGAGATTGCAAGTTGGCGGTCTATGCTCCAAAGATTTCATCTATGGAGGTTGAAGAGTTTATACCACGTAATAGATATTAAAAAAATACAGAATATCACTACAAATAATGCGATATATTGAAGTGTGAAGTAAACATACATTATAAACAGTTAGATAATTAAAAAACTGATGATGAAATAAGTTTTATTTAAAAAATTATTGATACATTTGTAAAGAATTATTTATACTTTAAATCAATTCATCAGGATAAAACATAAGTACATTTTCAACTACAATTTAACATTATTTGATGCACACTGTATAAGGCGCCAAGGACCTTTATCTTTTTTAACCGGATCAGGAGAAACTGTAGGATAATGAATTATAGGTTTTGTACCATTTAATGAACTATTTAATTCTGATGAAATATCTTCCTCATTAGGATTTTCTGCAAACGTTACTTTCAATTTATCCCCAGTTAGTTTGGAATATTTTTTGGAATTTAATAAAGTTGATTCTAATGAATCATTCGGTACTTCGGATAAAGGCAATAATACTGGTGGATTGGAAGATGTAGATGGAGTCATATTTAAACTTGTAGTAACAGATACTGGAATTAAACTAAAATTCAAACTCCCAGTGAGATAGTGAACCGGGTATACTGTAGCATCTGTTTTATGGAAGGGAACATGATGATGTAGATTAGTTTGTTCGCTGTTCGGTGAACTACCAATATTATTTACACTGCCACCACGTCCAGAATCGACATCTGAGTCAATTACAGGAGCGTCATTTAATGGAGAAGCGCAAAGATTTCTGTGCGTTTCAGAGCAACCAAGATATGATGAATCATTCAATGGAACAGCGAGTAGTTTCATTGCAGTCTCCGGAGCTCCATGAATAGCACATACACGAGGAAGAGTCATCACTGCATCCTGCTTATAAGAAGTATATGGAGAAGAAATTATAACTGATGTCGATAAACTTTCAGCACGAGTTTCTCGATTAACCTAATCAGTAAAAGGAAAGATAAAACGAGATGTTTAGTAAATGTATCAGTAAAAATGTGTATTTTATTTTTCACTGAATCAATTATTATTCCATTTATTAAGATTTGTATTTGAGTTGAAAAAAGATTATTTTAAGAATTGGGTGTCTATGACGGAATTTAGTTTGATTTTAAATTCTCTCTGATAATATTTATTCCTTCAGTTATATTATTAATGATAAAATTGTTACATTCATTTAGGAATATAAAAGATTCCCAATGTGAAAATTGGAACAACACATATAAGTGAACAATATTGTTTACGATTAGATCGTCATCAGGCTTTACTCTAATGTACATGAATATTTATATGAAAATGTTAAACCAATCAAGGCAATTTGAATCATAATCACAGTGAAATGAAGTAGATTACGTCACTACACATAATAGGCAAAAGTACAAGTTGATAGTAGGAAGACAGGTGTACTGATAGTAGTAGGAAAATTATAAAATATGATAACTAAAGTTTTATTAATAGCAGGTCAAACGTGGATGAATAGACTTCAAATAATCATCAAAAACATCAAAACCATTACGTAATAAGCAAATGTGTAAAAATAAAAATAAAATAAAAAATAAAAAATATAATGTCAATCGTTAGTTACGTCATATCCGGCCACGGAAGAGATAGGGGTGTCACGAATTTCTTCTGAACACATATGGCTTCTGCAATGTGAAGGAGACGGGATCGAACTCCTTTGGGAAATGATAGAGGTAAACGATAGATCACCCGAAAAGATCTAGATTTGTCTACAATGTGATCACTATCTACCAGGTGTGCTAAGATAGAACTGCGTATTGTTTTTGACTGACCCTTCGTAAACCATGCTGGGAGATGTTCACTCATTCGTTGGGTAAGTTGCCTGGAAGTACGCCCGATATGTCTGTCTCCACAGGAGAAGCTGAATTTGTAAATGCACATAGAGGAGGCCAACTCAGGTAACTTATTCTTCGTTTGGGTAGACATCGCTGGTCGACAGGAGAATGTCAATGCAAGTTTGGCAGCGTTGAATGTTCTATTAATTACGCTTAGTAATCTGTCCTGCAGAGTATCGCAGGCCCCATCTCCGTCTTCCTACTATCCACTTATACTTTTGCCTATTATATATAGTGACATAATCTTTTTCATTTCACGGTGATTATCACTCAAATTGCCCTGATTGGTTTAACATTTTCATATAAATATTCATGTATATTAGAGTAAAGCCTGATGACGATCTAATCGTAAACAATATTGTTCGCTTATATGTGTTGTTCTAACATTCATTTAGGCATCTACTTTATTATCACTTCAGAGGTACATGAAATTTAGTATTCTATGCTAGTTATCGGAACATGTTTTCAGATGAAAGGAATATAAATAGTATTTCTAGGTTGGCTAAGGCTGGATAATCTAAAATAAACGTTGGTTTGATAGATTATTATTACTTATAAGTTTTAAATAATAATGATTTCACCAATCATTAATAAATTATCAATTAATAAACGTGTCTAGTGAAACAGTCTTCATGAATGCTGAAGCAGTACCACTGACAATATATATATATATATATATATATATATATATATATATAATACACTTGAGATTTTCATGAGAATGTATTTCTACTTTTATGATGAATTCATCAATGGTCTAGGGTTATAAAAAAAACAATGTAAAAAATAATGTATAAACGGTGTTTAAACGAAAGACAGACATCAATTCGGTAATCATTTTATAGTGATTAGTGCAGAATGACATTAATTCATAGCGATCATGCAATCCGAATGTAAACAATACAATTTTCGGTCGATATCTATGCCTTTGTTTTGTCATAGACAACTGCATTTCAAGCTATTCGAACAGATCAGCTGCAAGGATTAAAGCACTTCATCTTATTGATTTAGTTTTTGGGAATTTTTTTTCACTTCAACTATAATCTAAGTTGATGAAATATGTAGCTGATTGTACAGCACAACCACTTCACCTATATCACTCCATATATAGTTAAGGAAACTTGTATAATGATGAATCATGTCAATCATTGTGAAGTTGTTACATGATCTTGTTATGCAAAACATTTTTGATAGAACAATTGAATCTGGTATCCTATAGTGCATTTTATGTAATAATAGAAGCTTTGCAATTTATTTTTCTGTAAGCAACAATATGAAGAATTTTTTTTAACAAATGAACTGTAGTATAGTTATCCATCTAAATTTTTCTGTAGAACTAATTTCATTTTTTAGTTTAGTTTCAGTTAGTTCTTTCTTACTTTCATAAGCAAAGTGAATATTTTTATAACTGTAATATTTTGCATTATATCAAACCAGTTCAGTATATTTCTCATAGGTTATTTTTTTTTGAGAATGTCAAAAATTTTATATTCAGTTTTTTTAATTTATTTTCGAAAGAATTAATACACTTGATTAAAAGCGAAACACTTAGTTTTGTTACTTGAAAATAATATATGATTTCTGTAGAGAACTTTTATTGGCTGATATTGGCTATTCCGAAATAAATCATTAGATAGCTTGTAATGAGGAAACTGCAATTTTGCTGGAATATAATTATAATGTATGATTCTTTTAGAGAGTTTTGTGAAGAACATATTTCATTCTGTTTGTGATACTGTTGAGGAATAATATATTTGTACTTCTCTCGTTATAAATAATAGTTGAAAGAAAATACTCTTCAATGTAATAATAATTTGAGTTCGGTTTTGATAATAATAATAATAATAATAATAATAATAATAATAATAATAATAATGATAGTCAAAACTCTTAAGCGAAAATGGTTGATCGAGAAATTGCATTTGCTTTTTTGATCTTCTTTGACTCTGATGCGGGAACCGGTTTATTAGTTTCAGATTTATAATGCAATTCAACAGTGAAACGCTCGTCGGTAAGTAATTAGTCTTTAAATGGTCAGATACTTACACCGTTAAAATCTAAAGTACCCCATATTATCATCAGTTTATTATTTCGTAAGAAAACAGAACTTTCAAAATATATATAAATTACTGTAATTTTAATAAACTCAATCAAAAAACCTATCCTTATTTAATTTGTTCAAAAATGATCGTATTTTGAAGATTCACTAAAAGGGGGTAAGACTCAGCCGGTAATTATAGGCTCAGTGTTTGCAATCTGAAGGTATTCACAATCATGAAAGCAGCTACACTCTAAATATAAATTTTATTGAGAGCTAAATGAATCTTATTACCTCACAAAACTAAAAATGTGATTGTATTTTATGACACAAAAAGTTGCATCTATAAACGCTTTATTGTTATTTATTTGATTTCTTAATTGAAAATGTTGTAGGATAATTTGTCTTAAAAACTGGATGTTTAATAGCTTAGTAATGCATCAAAACTGTATACCTGTTTAGTGGCTCAGAATTTGTCTATTATTTAAACGAACAATCAAATGTGTCATGAAATAAACCTTCCAGTTTATTTTCCATATATGGCGCGGTTATAAGAAACACAATAAGGTTTATTTTGGATGAATTTATCCCATTCACTCGGTAAGCGAACCGGCATAAGAATGAGAAATGTAAAAGTGAAGCGAAGCAAAGTAAAGTGGAGAATGCGAGAGGACCAACTGTGTTTGTTGTGACATGACTACGTATTTGTCAGACAAAAAAAGCTAGACATGTGACATCAACGTATAAGCGAATAATGACAAGGTCGAAAGATGTGTATATAACTCGCGAAGGATGGATTTGTTAAAAGGCTGGGACAAGCCATATGGGCTCGACACATTATTACTAACTACACATGTATCAGCTATACATTTTTTAAGTTACACTACAAATTATAGATCCAAGTTATATGAAAGAGAAAATTGTAATGCTTAATGTGTTTGACTTTGTTCCAGAGACCGAATTCATTCCCAAAAAAAAATCAACGATATGTATATTTTAATAATTAGTTTAAGCCCAGTTTACAGGAAGTATAACAATTGAGTGGACAACATTTAGGAAAAAATTAGAAAACCAAAGATATAAACTCTCCTACTCCATTTGTGAATGGATTTTTGTATATGGCAGTATTTTGTGAAAACATTAGTCATATAGGCACCATATTTTGTGTATATAAAACAAAGTGGATATAAATAAATTTTAAACTGATACCAATATGCAAGTGACAATCTTCCGAAACATTTTAGCATCATTATCATTCGATTATAAGGTTGAAATATACGGTTAAGCTATATTACTTATTATATGATATTTAATCTTGGGAATGTATATCCTATACACGATAGGAAAATATATGATCGGAAAATGCAGACAAAGAATAAACTTTATTACGAAATATTAGTTAAAAGTCAAGGATGATAGTATAATGTATATATATATATATATATATTCAGAGTGGTCAACAAAAATTTAGGTTCCACATGGCCTTCGTTATCCGTCTTATCCCTTAGAGTGTATAGAGTAAAATCCTTAAATTGATCACAATTAGACATTAACACCATTAGATGCCGACTCAGTAGTCCAGAGGTTAAACGTTCGTGCACTAGACAGTAAATTCTAGGTTCGGATTCTGTGAGCAACAGGAGTCTTGGTTGCGCACTACTGATGAGTCCCATACTAGGACGAACAAAGGCATCCAATGCTTCCAGTTTTCAAATGAACCATTCATGATTTAAGTGTGTAAAAGCAACGATCTCCTTAATACTGCAATGCAATATATATATATATATATATATATATATATATATATATATGTCTGCGTGTGAATAGGAGTGAGGTTATTTAAACATAAACAAGGAGTGAGATAGTAACTGAATAAAGTCCGGAAACAGATAAGTTGGGTTGCATGCTATTTGTAGAAGTTAAGAAAAGCTCACATAATTTTCAGATTATTGTCTTGAATTAATAATTGAAGGTTAACGGCTTAAAGCTGCCGATTTTATTGTTATAATTTACTTTAACGAATAAAAACAGTAAGGTATACTGAATTTCGGTAGACGTATTCAAATTTTTTTTGATTTAGAACGAAGTATTTTTCTGTTGAATATGACCTATCTGTGTGACAGTCTTTTTGATTTGTACTGAGATAAATTCAAGATAGTATTGAATTGATGTAGTGTGATAATTAACTTAAACACATGAATTTGTATTTAAAAATATATAATTTGAATATAATACTACCACGTTTTCTGCCTGGTTTCAGATAATTTGCCTTAGATAGTCGTATCTAGCATTAAAAACGGTGATTTTATTTAACGCCTCCAAAGTATACAGTTGACTGTTTGAGATAATTTGTTAAATTAAAGACGTAAACCAATTAGCGGTCATATTAATAGTAGCAGTTTGAAAGATATTTTCTTACCGTATGTGATCGTTAATAGAACAACATATAAATATATGTTCTAACTTATTCAAAGAACTCATGTCAGTGTTTGCATATTATAAAAGTTGCTTTTGTACATTTGTTCACAAAACTATTAGTAAAAATTATTCTAACCTTTGTAAATTTGATGAAACGCTGAATTTTTAATCTTCTCGCACATTGTATAGTTCCTCATTAATCTTAATAGATCTAGGAATAACACTTTATAAACCTATGGCATGTACTATCACTCCATTTCATGAATATTACAACGGATATATGAGTCAGTAGAATACATCAGGTAAAGTTAAGTAATTAAGCAATGAAATATTATGTAATTCCAAATAACTAATTTATTTAAGTTTCAGTTGAATTCAGACATTCAACTTTTTGATTTCATATGAACATAACAAAAGCTTAAAATAGCAGTGAATGATCTGAAAAAAATCATAAATCTCATTCAGTGAAAATTTTTTTCACTTACTTCTGTGGTAATTAAACGATTACATTCTAAATGTCCCATAAATAATGTATTATTAATAAAATTATGTTTTTTATGGGATGATAAACTGATGTTTTGATCAGGTGAATTTATAGTATCACAGTGTAAATTTGCTAATGTAGATCCGGTAATATTATTTTCATCGGTGTTATTATGATAATGATTGTTATCATTATTAGTAGTATCGTTATTATTATTACTATCACTATCTTTAACAAATTGAAGTAAATGATCAAGTTTGATTGCATTAGAGAGAGTATTTGGTGTTTTAAGAATAAGTGAACTTTTCTGTGCTTTTTCATGATAATGATCAGATTGTAGATGAGGTAAAACATCACAGAATTCAATTGAATTTAATTCTATAACAGGAAAAGAAAAGTAATTCATTAGATATCAGTACAAAACCGAAGAATTTGTATTGATTTAATCAATCAATAAAAACAGTGACATTTATGAGCTTGTGAACGCGATTAAAGAACCTAAGTGTTTCGAAGAATTTATCCTAAGATGTTAATAGTGTGACCATTTCATGTTTGTATTAGGAAAAAATTTTGTTATGAAACTAAAAGTTAAAAAATAAACTTCAATAAAATACAAAGAATAGTTGGATTGTAATTATATCATGAAGTAAGATACATTTTATTTCATTATAGTTTACACTGAAGATTGTTTGCGATAAAGCAGATATCCCTATTGAAAAAAATCTATTGTCATAGTATTCAACAATCTAGACTGATGTATATATTTGGTTATTTAGTTACATATTATATTTAACAGATAATCATTCCTTCCTTCAGTAACTGATGTCAGCTAGAAAAATAAAAAACTAGTGGAGAAATAGATAGTCATCGTGGTCTACTAGTACGTAGCCACAATATACTATCCAAGCTGATTTTCAGAGATAAATCTGTTAACATGTACTAAACTAAATAAATCGAAGTTCTAAATAGGAATAAATTAGTTTTATTTTTCAGTTGTAACAGTTTGAGCGTTAGATATTATAAATTGTATTGAAACCATGAGTTATTGATTAGTGAGTGACAAGTGCTAATCAGCTGAACTTATTTAAAATTTGATTGTCAGTTATTGTGAACAAAACTCGAAAAAGCTAGTGTATACAACGATAATGTCGATTTGTTTGTATTGAAATAAGCTCTATCTATTGGTTTTATTTCTTCTGTGTATTGATCTATATTTATTCTGCTTTAGTTATTGTGAGTTTAGTTGAAAACTGTTTCTACTCATCGATGGTGTACATTAAATCCAGGATCGCCCAGATAAATACTTTGGAGATTGGTAGAGTTAGGTGATGGAGCTTTAGGTCATCCTTTGACTCCAATGTTCATGTCAAAAATGTATCAAGCTTAGTACAAAGTATCACAAAAACGACGATTCACTTATGAATAAACTGCCCAAATTAACTACTAGACTAAAAGTTAGTGATTTCTTCAAGTCACATAGGATCTGGGGATCATTTTTGTTAAAGTCTTCTGAGGTGAGAAAATTTAAGTAATTACATTCTAATTTCTTATCATTTTTTCTCAAAAATGCCAAAGACTAAATAATGAACTGAATCAACATATGATTGGTATACTCTGATCTACTTACGTTGTGTTTTAAATCTACATAAAGAAATGACTCAATGATTTGAAATAGTATAGTTATGTTTTATGCAATCAAGTAATAAGCTTCTTTTTTCATTCTGTTGAATATATATCGATAGTCTCCATTACTATAGTACTGATGAAATGTGATACCTAATGTATAAACATTTTGATAAGTTATATATATATATATATATATATATATATATATATATATATATATATTGTGGAAAGTATTTATTCACAGTTAAGTTTATGCAGCCTTTAAATTAAAGACAATCTAAAAGCACAATATATGTTTAACTTTATTGTAACTCAAAGTAAAACCAAAATACAAGCTCTAGACTGATCATCAAATATACACTCATTAAAAATTTACGCATTCATATTGATAGATCAACAATATTTCTGCACTATAAAATACCTTGAGTATTTTTCATTACTTCTTGAAATCCATTCGACTGATCAATATTATCATCATTGTCTTTACGAATAACATCAAGAACATTATTTCTTCCTTTCGACTTTCTGTCTTTTACCAACCGACATTGTTTTACTGAGGTGAAAACATTTTTACAAGTTGTACGTTTAGCAAACACTGCAATAGTAAAAATCAATATAATACACAATATTGTTGTTGACACAACAATACACATCATGATTAGTTTATTCAATTCAATAGCACCAGTATTATCCACTTCAGTGATACCGATTAGGCCAAGTGATTTTAAATTAGCCAATTGATATTCATCAAGTGTACCAAGACTTCTACCGATTGGTGGTGAGTCAGTTATAAATATTTGAACATCTATTTTACTTGTTTTTGGTGGAACTCCACGATCCGATGCTTGAATTGATAGAATTGTAGAAACCTAATTACACAAATAATAGAAGTTTAAATGGAATTTTCCTGGTTAATAAAAGCGAGAGTAAGTAATTCATTAGTAAGTAAAATAAAAATTCACTTTTTGGAAAGTTGAAATTTACAAAATTCATATAAATGTAGCTTGAAAGCTTTTCACTAGTCATCGTTAAATTCATTTGATCTGTGTAAAATATAATAATTATAAAATAATATAATCGCGTAACTTAGTTACCGGGAAAACAGTAGAATATTCACTAATGATCTTGGAAGTTATTTACTCTGAAACACGAAGCAATCAGATTAGAGAATGATAAAAACTACTAAGAAAAATTAGTTTTATAACTTCAACTGATTTCGTTAACTAAATAAATTTTATTTACAGTCATGAGAGCAATAATAAGTGAAGATAATTAATGTCAGGATAATTTGTCCAAATTCAATATTCTGTGATAATGTGCCACATCGATCCGAATTGAATAAATGGGAACGGAATGTTAACCGGATATCGATTCTACTGAAACTGCGGAGTATTTTGTTATTGCGTTTTTCAAATATAAACCACTGAATTATATTGTTTTCAGTTTCTGATACAAACGTTTGCAAATCCAAGAATTTATACCGATCAAGTCAGAAACATCGCATTGTCCAAAACTGTAAGTTTTTTATTTCATTTCCAAAATTTTATAATTCTTGTAAAAACTGAATTCAATTATGTTGATAAAATGTTTGAATGAGCACATGCTTTCAATAGATATCTTAATGACTGTCTATAAAGTACTTAAGACTTCTATTCAATATTTTCAGTAACAAAAGTGGTCATAACTTTATGGGTTGTATAGATTTTTGGATTTTTTTGAGATTGAAAAACAATATTAGTTAAACCACTATTAAAAACAACCACCAAACAACAAACAATAGATGATTTAAGGTAAACTTGAAATAAAATAATCTGGATTTATAATTTTTAAACGCTTTTCACAAGCGTTAACATTTAAACTAATAGTGGAAAATAAAAGCCACAGATATATAGAAATATCACAAAGCGAAATCAAATATTATATTCCTTACATCTTCAGATTTTTGAATAGTATTCGTTACAATTATCTCTCCTGTATCATGGCGTAATCCGAATACATGTCTAGGATCACCTTTCAGCAAACTGTAATGTATTTCACCATTTTTACCTGAATCTTTATCAATGGCTACCAGTCGTGTTACTATAAATCCTTTTTTCTCATGTACAGAAAGTCGAACCTTGAAAATATAAATTACATATAAAAAAAGATAATCTTAATACAAATATTCAAATGGTAATTTTGTTGTCACGTGAACTCAAACATATCTATTTGAAAATAAGAATAAGTCTTCAGTCAGTGTTGTTATATGTTTGATGATTACAGTAAGTGGTCATCATTATAACTTAATTGCATAGATTTCTACTTTAAGTTCTAGTAGAAATGTGCACATGTAAGGATCATTTTTAGAAAAACATTTAGCTACTTAGTGGCGAGTAGTTTTCTAAAATACTGTCTTAGGAAAATAAACTTGTGTCGAATTCATGTTTGAAGATACGTCTGCATTAAATACTATCCAACTTGACATGTACCCGGTTGTTAACAAATAAGGAAGTTTTCTAATTAACAATGACAAAAAAAAGTTAATATTAAAATCTTTTGTTTTGAAAAAGTGATTTCGCATTATTTATTTATAGTACAATCCTACATTAATTAGATTTAGTTTGTTTATTTATGCAATCAAATAGTTCGAAAGAAATTCTAATCAATATATACAACACATCTATTCGTCAAGTTCAATCATCATAAATTTTATATATTTGTAGGCCTGAACCGATACCATTTTAAACAAAGATTATTTCTTTTGATTGAATTTACATGGAATATTTGAACAAATTCAATGATATAATTCCAAATAAGTTTACTGACAAAAGTAGAAATAAATTCAAGAATACTGACAGAGAATAATACTTGAAATTCATTTTAAAGTTTGAAACCAATTCTCATAATTCAAAATACAAAAAGGGACTTATTTGTTCGTTTTATAAGGAACAATTAAAATTACTGAGGTACTTATAAAATTAAGTGATAATACAATTTTCGGATCTACATAGCTGTAAATTTGCTGAAAGACATCATTATCCTCTGTTGATTAACGTTCTTTTCCCTTATATGATGATATGATATTGATCATGTACTTCTTTTAAACGACTAACTCTATTAACCAAATCATTATTTGTTTATGACCTATGCGCAATAAAAGTACAATGATGCCTGTGAAAAAAGTCAGTAGTTATACACAAGGTGTTATTAACATTTAACTTATTGATGTATATTCATGATTAGTATTACTATTCGAAGTCAACTTTACATGGCAGAATAAATTTTGTAAATATTTTCAGTTACTATTAACCTGTCTAATAACCTCATTAACATATAATGCATTTTCGATCAACTAGACATCAATACTCTCAAAGATTGTTTCGGATAAGAGCTAATCAAAACCTGGTTTCAGAATTATTAAGGAAACTTTAAATAATATTCATATTGGATCTTCTACTATTCACAAACCATTCCATTAAGAAACATGAAGGAAGAAATAAAAATGCGTTTTATTATTACACCTTTGTTTTTCATCTTAATTCGATTATTCACTGTCCAAAGTGTGTGTGTGTGTGTATGTAGGCCACATTAACACAAGAGAATGACTTTTAATCAACTAAATAATATAAAAACTAAGATAATTTTAAATTTGAACAACACATATAAGCGAACAATATTGTTTTCAATTAAATCATCATCAGGCTTTATACTCTAATATACATGAATATTTATATGAAAATGTTAAACCAATCAAGGCAATTTGAGTGATAATCACAATGAAATGAAAAAGGCAAAAGTACAAGTGGATAGTAGGAAGATAGGTGAACAGATAGTAGTAGGAAAATTTATAAAATATGATAACTAAAGTAGGTCAAAGGTGGATGAATAGAATTCAAGTAATCATCAAAAACATCAATGGGAAGTTTAAATTTACCGTATTCATATTTTACAGATGATAAGCACCTAAGGCTTAAGAATCTAATGAAGTTGCAGTCCCAGTAAGACATAGATGCTTTAATACTATAAAGTATGTTCAGAATAAATGACTGTCAAAGTAAATTTTATATACTTTTAATATAAATACTGTACGCATGTTTTGAATATTACATTCAGAGTATACATATTTTTCTATATTTTTAATTACTAATATAAAAACTTTAACGACTTCGAAGCATGCGAATGCAATGACCCAAACATTATTTATTTCAATACCATATGGTTGTGCATGATCATAGATCATTTAAAAATAAAGGCATAAAATAAGGGACACAAATAGGACAGAGTTCATTTTTCAAAATGATCTACATAAAGCAACTTGCCGCAAAACTAACTATTAACTTTTCTGTATGATACTAATGTTAATTTACATCTATCAATTATTTGTTTTGTTGTTTGTAATCGTTAACTACTACACAAACACAAAGCTTTAGAGTTAACAACTACTCAAAGTTAAAACTAGATCTTTTTTATGAAATGATTATTGTAAAGAAATAGCTGGGAGTTTTTTAATGTGTTGTTTGCACCATATTTCTGACTATGGGCTATTTACACTTATTTGACCAAGCAAATTAGCTTGGTAAAATATAGATTACCAAAAGTATGAAAGTCCAATTAATATAAGATTTAAATGATTTAAAATTATTGGAAGTGTGTTACTTTTCTCATTCTGATTGAAAAAATGAATGAAAATTACAAAATTACTGGTTAGGAAACGTTTATGTTCACTACAGTTAAATGATCAACTTTATTTTCCAAATAATGAAGCACAATAGATATGAAATTGAGCTACCATGACAGAAAATTACAATCAAGCTAAACTTCAAAAGGAGTGTTTGGTAATTAGTATGCTATGAATGTATTCACCAGATTAAGCAGACAAATAATTATTAATGCTGATGAAGCAGACGATTAGAATCTATCGGTTTAGTATTTCGAAACAGTTTTATCTAAATGCAACCCAACTCACCTTAAATACACTTGTATTTGGGTACACAAAAATTGGAGTATTGTCATTAAGATCTGTGACTAGAATGCGTACAGTGACTGCAGATGTGTGAATCTTGTTTTTAACTTGTGACGTTACTTTATCATTTAATACTTCGTATGTTCCTTCATTATAATCATCAATCTGATAATTCTCCAGTAAATATCTATTTTCTGACTGAACGCCACCATCGGTAGCCAAAACGGTAAATTGATAAATTGACTGGGACTCTCGGTCTATAAGACGGTTTGTTTTCAAAATACCATGGGAATTAATCTGTAAAAAAAGTAAATTTAGGTGTTTTATGAAATGGAATTTAGCAACATGCATGTGCACTAATGAAAATTACTTTATTTTAACATTCTTTTAGCAGAAATAAAATGTCCTATCCTTGATTTAATAGATGTATTGAAGGTTCTCGCCATTGTCATAGATCAACAAATTGTAAGATTCCATGTAAATACAATATTTTGATTAATATATATATATATTATTTAGATTGAGTTATCAGTAAACAATTTTATACTAAAGTCACACTTACCACAGTGGTTTTGTACATGGATCATGTTCCTTAACTATTGTCGAAAACATCATTCTGAAGCTTTATCCATTCTATTCTCTAAATACGTCACCTTATATCAAGCATTTGTCAGAGAATAAATAATGGCACAAAAATGTTAGTAATATTGTTACCTCTATTAACGTATTTACTGACACTTGTTGATAGCTAATTATCAGCTTCATAGAACTTGCAGTCAAGGTCAATCAATGATCTGCTTACAATACTTAATTTTGTTAATAAATACTGTAAAGCTTAAAGTCAGTGAATGTACATAAAACATTCAAATGAAGAAGTTATTATCCTACATTGATTTAATGAGAGCAGAAATTGTTGGATGGAAATTAAATGTCAGTAGAAGAGAGCGTCCTAAAAAAAATAGCAAATGACTGATTAAATGCATGAACCTTTGCTAGTATATTTGTATTGAAAAACGTGATTAAAATTAGACCTAAATATTCATAAAACAGTATTTGATCATAGATTTCCAAAGCTTCTTTACAGTAGGTTCTCAATTATTTCTAACAAAAGAATACTCTACGATAGTTTCGCATTAATCATTTGGTACTGGTCAACTAATTTTTCTTTAATGCACTGTATGGAAATCTTCACTTTATTACTAATAACACTTCCAAGTTTGAATATGTTATAATCTTGTGTTATCTCTATTATATTTCTAACCTCTTGCAACTATCAAAACTAATTAGCCTGGAATTCATGAATGATTTTTTCGTCATAAATCAGCTTGTTTTCATAGGTATTTAATTTTGCTTACTTTACAATTAACAATAAATGTAACTTAAAGAATTGTTTTATTCTTTTTTCTTTCAAAAAAATTATATAGGGGGTCTAAGAACAGCTGTTGCGTGTCAAAAAAAAAAAATTTTAAATTATGCAGTTTATTCAAATACAGGTTAACATATCGTTTCATTTGTTTAGATAAAGTTGTTGTGTTTATTCGTTAATTTAGGAAATAATAAACTTAAGTTGTGTCAATCAATCATGATCTTATTACTAGCTTATTAGTGAAGTATGTTTATTACGAATTATCTGTGTTTCATTTTGTCTAACGAATATAGATGAAAGCGTATGCATGTGGTTTGTAGTTTTTGGCATAAAGATTAGATGGATTTATCAATAGTCGTAAAATGTTACAGTTAGTTGTATATGTTCAAAAGTCGAGCGTTATCAGTGAACATTTCGAAATTAGGTCATTAAACTACATAAAACTGTCACAAGGTTTAGATGAATGAACAGTAATTTATTTCGATACTTGATCAGTTATTCAACAGAACTTGGCTTATCATATAATGAGATTTTAGGATGTTAAAGACAATTGGGAAATTTCGTTAAATATTTTAATCTATTTTGTTTTCATTGATGTAAATCTAATAATTTTCACCATGAATCAAGATTTCTGATAATATATATATATATATATATATATATATATATATATATATAATGCTGTATTTTTGATGGAATGTCGTTTTGGTGATTTCATTGGGCAGAAATACGTACGATACTTGGCGGGACATATTTCATACCTGTTTAGCGCCGTTTGTTTATCATTCTTACATTGCACTATGAATAAACTGTCAACTGTTTTTAATTCTCGAAAAGTCATGTCTATTATTTTTTAATTTATCTAGGAGAACATTGCTAAGTAGATATGTTACAACCCCACTTATTATTTGTTAAGTCAAAGATTGTTCTACTCACTAAGGGTTTTGTTCATTAATTCATATTCATAGCCTTGGAACTATTTAGTGATCTTTTTTTCACTTTCTATCTTTTGTGTTTACGTTGTTAACTTTTTACGTTAGCTGTTTTTTATACAGTGATCTATTTATTTAGTTGAAACATAGAATACTATGTTTATACATACATACAATAATTGACATTACGTAAAAATCATCACTTGATAAATAGTAATAAATGAGTTGTTTTGAGTACGTGATCTGTTTAAAATTTAGATTCGACGTTGATCCAAGATTTCTATGTTAACAGTCATTGCATATAAGTTGATAAATAATTATTTGATACTGTAATGCAAAACACTAATAATCTGATGATTACAAAATAGGCTTGTGATGCATTGAATGAAGTAAAATCAATGCTTTTTCAAAATACTTAACGCTACAACAGAAAATATCTTCATCTTCATTAAAATAGTCTTTGAACCTAATGGTATTGGATATCCTTAAACAAAACCTTCAGGCCAGCATTTAACTAAAATGAATTCATATTACGAAAATATTTTGAAATTTGTTTAATCGTGGGCATGCAAAACAAATATTTTTGGTCCTTGAGATCGTTTAGTAGAAGATCTAATCAGTAATGCTGATATACCGAATTGATTACACCTAATACATTAAGAGATGATCAAATTATTATTAAAGAGTTTAGCACTGCTGTTGCAAATTTTGTTTTTTTAGCAACATTCGTCACCATTGGCTTAGGAAAGGCAGCTATCTGGCAAGCAAAAGGAGAGTATATTGCTGAACCTTTCTCTTGGTCTCACTTTATAGCTGTGAAACATGACATTTATGAATAATGTATATTCGTAAGTTCCTAAGACATGAATAATTGTTACGTTAAATATTTGGCCGGATAGTTTGGGATGAACGATATTATTGGGAAGTCCATCTTATATGTCAAGCAAAAAGAGTCTGGGATCCATGAATAGCTACTAGTTACTTTTCATCCTATTTTCTTTTGCGTTTTATGATCAACCGTTTGTTTTCAAATCAATAAAGCAATTGTATTATCGTAGGTAAGTATTCTGTTTACAAATAATAATTTAAATTCATTAATATACATTTATGTACACAGTTAATCTATCGGTTAGTCTGTTGTCTAAAGTTTATCGATCAAGGTCAAGAGAACGAGCTCATAAATAGATAATTTGGTAACTAATTTATATCACACTATTTACTGTATAAGTCAGTTCTCATGTCACGCTGATTGGGCTCTTCAATCGAGTTATGTCTGGTTATTGGGTTCTTTTTTTTGTTGATATCTAATTTTACATGTATAACTGAACTAATTCATTAAGATTACCTAATTCCATTTGTATTTCTTTATGACTTAGAGTTCATAAGTGAATGTTTGACAAATCTCATTATTCTATAAGGTAGGGTCGGGTGAATAACGATTATGCATGGATGAGCAAGTGGTTATAAGTATCACCTCAGTAACAACGTTTTTCTCCACTGCATCTAATTCTGTGAGCATGAATTTGTTTTTGAAACATATCACAGCTGATACCGACTGCCACTTTTTCACGCAAAATTGTAGTCTACATCATTTTGACACGATCAAGTAGTATAGTACTATCGGAATAACTTTATGATTAAACATTGTATGATTTAGGTGTAGTGTAGATATACCGATAAAAAGTTTATTTTTCAACTTACTTCAAATGGTAAACCAGGATCAAGAACAGAATAGATTAACATACTGTTTAATCCAATGTCACAATCAGTCGCAACCACCATGCCAATAATTCTTGGTCCAGTATAATTTTGCATCAGATCCTCATCTATTGTAAAATTATATTCAGATTGAGAAAATCTTGGTATACAATCATTAATATCGTCCAAAATAACATGAACGTTTGTGGTTGTTGATAAACTTGGTATTCCTGAATCAAATGCAGTTACCTAATAATAATAATTTAAATGATAAATAGTCAATGCAGCAATTCAAAATTCACAATAAGTTTATGGTATTTTGGATATATGATAGCCGAAGAAATAATGCAGTTCAAAGCTTTGAGTGAGAACTTGACTTATGTTTCTGTAGTTGAATATATCACGGATAAAATAAAATAGAAATTATACTTGGTGAATTCTCGAATGAAGACCGTATATGTACAGTATTAAAACTGATACAGTGTAGCAAGTTACTTGAAAAACTGAAAAAAATTATTAATTATAAGTATAATTACAATGTTTATCACTTAGTCTAATCGCTTCTCCAGAAACATGAATACAATGCAGCTGGTATAGTTTGTGATTATATAACTTACAAAAAGAGAAGCAGACATTTGCAAAATCATTGGAGACCATTGAGAACTAGCTGTTGATTGGTGACATTTTATTCCTCTTGGTGATTAGTGAAAGACTATGTAAGTGAAGTTGAATTCGATCTTTTTTCCCATTTACTGTTTTAAAACACTGAAACACGATGTCCACTATTGTATGTCACTAGACATTGATGCAATCTGACAAAATGTTTACATTCAATAGTGAATCTGTGTACTAGAAATTTTACAATAGGACAAAACTTCTGAAGTCAAACGTTCTGGTACGAATGTTCATTTAGTCGTGTATGAAATTTGTCAATTCTGCTCTTAGACTATTTGTTCCAATGGATAACTATTACACTAATCTTTGAAGTGTGCGCAAAGCGCATGTTTTAATTTATTCACCAATCAATTAAATGTTATATTCACTCAGGTCTATTTGTATTTTTTACTCACTGAAGGCATAATGAGTATTGGATGTTTTTAATGTAATGAAATTGTAATAACGGGTTGCTAAAATGACTGAAATAAAGAATAAAACAGTTTTCCAGAACAGGTTTTTCAAATTAATTCAATATTCAACACTAATTCACAATATAAATTATTTTTCTAAGATATATGTTTTATTTAAAACGATCTCAGTTTCATTCTCTTTATTCTAATTACACGCATATCTTGTTAACCGTGAACTGAATTTATTTCTCATTAAAATAAATTATAAAAAATTTAGTAGGACGTAAATGTAAAATATTATTGATTTTCTGGTTAGTATTTATTTATGGTTTTTAAAAACTTCTACTATATCTGAAATGTTTCTATATGTAAAGCGAAAAAAGGCATAATATATGATAATTAAAGTAATTTTGTACGAATTAAATTGTAATTTATTATCTTTTTATGTGGAGTAAATTTGGAAAATGATTAATGAAATTGTTACTGTCACATGTTGTAGAAACATAGGAATATCGATTTGATTTATAGTTTTCATTTCAAAGAAATTGCCTATGTTATAACATCTGAAGTATTGATAGTAGTAGTAGTAGTAGTAGTAGTAGTAGTAGTATCCACATATGAATTAGTAGTCGAATATCAGTACTATGTAGGAAACCGTTGGTCAGTGAAAGGAATGAAACAAGATGAAACTCACAACTCTCACTGCTTTATGATGATACATTTTATTTTTTAAAATCTGTTTTATTCAACCACTGATAATCTAGAGCAGCAAGTACTACAACGATGATATGCCTTATTCATTTTACTTTGAATTTTTTTATTTTTCATAACTACTCATAATTACAATCGTAACTTACAAGGTATAAACCTCAGTAGTTGTGAAATATTTTTTCAAATTTTCATCTAGAACAAATGACAAGTTGTTTCCCTAGATTAACAAATTTTAAAAGTTTGCGAACTATATATTTCGTAATATTAAGATAAAAATGTTTTCATATTGTTTTGAACTTTAAAATGAGGCGTATTATTGGTTATTGGTTATTCCAAGTAATACATGCTGCACTGTGTTAAATAATAATGACAATTATACATACATAGAACAGATTCATTTACCAATTTGTAATAAACACTTGCCTACTTTAATACCAGTTCGTTTGTAATCGTTTGTAATCTTTTAAATTGTTATTCTTTAGATGTATGTTTTGTAATTCAGTTACTTAATGTTTGCGAATTTTTTTTCATTGCGATATTTGTTTAGCTAACTGTTTATTATACTCGTTCATTTAACATCATATGGTTATTTTTAATAATAGTTATGGTTAATAAATTCAAAATTTTTATGGTTAATGTTTTCTCATAATTTCTTGTTCGTTACAGTCGTTTTTGCTATATTTATTCAATTTTTAATAGGTAAGTGATGGCATTTAAGCCAATGTAACTAACTCTATGTGGATATTCAACTAGAAATTCATTTATATTAACTACTGTTATTGTTGTTTTATAGAGCAGAATATATTGTTTATTATAATCTCTAGTATGCAAATGTATTATACAGTTATTCCACTTATTTCAAGGTATAAAGAAAAATTATTAACAGTATTTAGGTTTTAAGTTTAACTTCATCTTAAAACATGTTTTCATTCACAGAAACCTACTGGACACATTTAACCAAGGGATCTGTGTTTAACGAAACCTCACCTTTTGATATCATACAAAATGAAATCATCAAAACCGATGATAAGAGTTTTACGGAAAGGCTTAAATAGGCATCATATCTGCAGGTACGAGTAAGAAGATAAAGTAACATTACTGTTCTGTTGAACAGCTTATTTTTTGCCCATCAAAATACTCATCTCTTCTTCAACGAATATTTAGTTACTTTGAGTTTTATACATTCAGACTTATATCCTCTTATAAATTACCAACTCCGAATATCTCATTAATATCTGAATCAGAAAGAAAAATAGGTAAATGACCAAATTCTTGAGGATAAATTAATTCATTTAATAAAATTATAAATCACTTGAATAAACAAAGCTTATTAGCCGGTCTCAGCACGCTACTCTTTAAAAAATACTTCAAAGTACATTTAATTAAGAAACCAATTCAATATTACTATTACCATTATTTTGTATCCAAATTAACCTTTTTACTTAGATTTAGTGGTTTTAGTAGAGATGAGAAATTATTTGCATTGTATTTAATTAAATTAAATTAACTAGAAAATAGATAAAGTGCTTTACATTTTATCATCGTTTTTTCCATAAAAAAATTATTCTATTTATTAATAAATTAATGTTTATTTCGAAATTGTGACTTCTATTTTCTACACACCGCTTTTTTGTTGTTTACTCGTAAAACGCATTGTTTAATTAACTACTAACATAAGAGTAAAGTTAATGAAAATTAATATTTCAATTGTCACAATTACTTAATCATCCTTCTATCTGACTAAAATGTTTATAATATTAGAAGGCGAAAATTAAGTTTTGAAAGTGGTATTTTTTTGAAATAGTGGCTTGATTGTTTAGGAAATAAATTTTTTCACAATTTCGCTTCCCATATGATTTTATGTATGTACTGATTGGTAATAATAAACTAAACAATCATTCATTAGCACACACTAGTCTGATGATATATTCAAAGATTTCATTCTAAATACCTAATTCACAGATTTGAATATTAACAGATACATTGTACTTTGATGCATTGTTGATACGATGCACAAAGATTAGACTTGACTTTCAGGCCTTAACAAATTGAAGAATGAGTAAACTAAAAGCTAATTTCCTCAAGTCAACTATACTATTTTATCGTGTTTGTTTTGCATATATGCATTTTATTTGTAACATGAAAAACTTTATCTAGCTAATGGTATAGTACTTAATTTCGGAAGTCAAAATCAATCATATGATCTCTTGAGTAGCCATCACTTGGTTACATTGTATTACTGAGTTCATCTGTTGATCTGTTCATGGATTTTAACAATCAAAATCTCAAGTCACATTCAAAATGCATGCCATAAAATCTGCACAGTCATTTTCGCAGTAGTTTGAATACACTTGCTACACTCGTAATCTGTTTACTTAAAATTGGTTCCTCGCATTTTTCACGCCTTCATACCTAATACATCAAAATGTCAGTTAAATTAGGCAAACTACTGTATTACATGTTTAGACACATGTAATCAGTATTTACCTTAACAACAAAATTTTCAGTATTACGTGTTGTTACTGGTTGTTACTTTAAATATATAGAGTAAATTTTATTTTTATTTTTATTTTTTACAAAATTGCATTTAAAATAGTTTTTTTGTTAATCTTTCGGCTGAATAAATATTTTCAATATTCGTTAACTAGGGATTGAAATCACTTTGTTAAATATACGCTACTTTATAAATCGTTCGTCGAAAAAACTAATGCACAGGGCACAATTAATTCTAAACTCATTACTTATTTCATTTAACTATAGTAAACTACATTTCACATATTCAATTCGAATATTATAATTAACTAAATTAACAGGATATATTACATAAATAAGACACAAATTTTACTTCGATTTTATGCTAATTTAAATTTAAGGTAAATATAACAAAAAGTCGTTAGTTCCAATTTTCATATTCAGTGTATAGGATCGATTTACTCAGTTTGTATAACTCATTATGCTAATAAAAGTTTTCCTTTGCACAGAAAACACTGATGATGTATAATTCAGACCTACTTTTTGTTTGTAGATGATGTGGTTTCATGAGCATCTTTCCATTTTATTCATATTAATTTTTCAATCTCACATGTGTATTTATAGGTTATCAATGAGAATTCTGTCAAATTGATGACAAGGAAGTGAAACAACCTTCAAAATTGTTAATTTTTGTTGATGACAACCAATGTTCTCGCTAGTAGCTGCCTTTTCACTTTTTACTTTGAATATGAATGTTTCCAAATAATTTATATGTTGGTATCTATGTACTGGATTATTTTATGAGTTACTTAATCTCCGATAAAGAGATTACGACAAATAAATCTAGAAATCAAGGTCAGATTACAGAGCCATTAGAAACTAAGCGACACTAAACAGCCTGTTTTCATAGTTTAAGAGTCATTAGGAGTGGGAGCGGAAATAGTGTGTTCGATTCTTGTTCATGTGATACATTTACATGATGATACATCTATACTTCGAGCATATACTCGCAATTTTAATGCAATGTTTATTAACCGCACATTTAATTAGGGTATCATTATATTTTATTTCAACCTGACATAAATCATATTATAATAAGTTTCAGAATATTATTATTTTAATAGGTTATTGGAGATTGAAAAGGTTCAGTTAACATCACAAATCAATCTTTGCCGAATAACGTTTAAAAAGCGTTGCAGGTCTATTTTGTTATAGTATAAAACTTCTCAGAAGTCCACAGCCAGGGTTGCACTGAGGACCAAATACAGGAAGTTGATTATTCATGGCAAGTCCTTACTCTCCGGTTAGCTGGCCCAAATTTAATGGTTTTAATGTACAGCTTCAGTCAATTCCAAGAATTTGACAACCATCCTTACATTTCATTACTGGGTGACTGCTTTACATTTAACACAGATACAAAGTTTCCTAGTTTTTAATGCTTATCCATGTAGGTGATAATTTGGTTTCAAAAATTAAAGCTCAGTATTGTAACACCGTTGTTAGGTAGAAACAAGCAATTTCATCGACAATATTTGAGCATAATAATATTCTCGAAAATATTATTTTGATTACTGAACATTTGTACCAGTATATTCAATATGCAGTGAAACTTCAAAACAATCTATGTCTTATTAAAAAGATCTGATGAATATCAAAGATTCCCATTGAGAAAATTCCAACAACACATATATGCGAACAATAGTGTTTATGATTAAATCGTCATCAGGCTTTACTCTAATATACATGAATATTTATATGAAAATGTTAAACCAATCAAGGCAATGTGAGTCAATAATCACAATGAAATGAAATAGATTACGTCACTATACATAATAGGCAAAAGTATAAGTTAATAGTAGGAAGACAGGCGTCCTGATAGTAGTAAGAAAAATAAAATACGTTAACAAAAGTTTTATTGATAGTAGTTCAAATGTGGAGAAATAGACTTAAATTAATCTTTTCGGGTGATCTATCGTATCCCTCCATCATTTGCCAACGGCTTTCGATCCCGTCTCCTACACATAGCAGAAGCCAAAGAAATTCGTACATTCAACCTCATTTTATGTGTTCAGAAGAATTTCGTGACACCGCTATCTCTTCCGTGGCCGGATATGACTTAACTGACGTTTACAATTTTTTAAAATTTTATTTCGTTATTATTAGCATTATTTTCACTTCCTGTATTTGTTTGTAATTTTCTGCCTCTTCCAGTTTATATTCTGCACTGTCCAATTATGTACACACTTCTTAATACGTAATGGTTTTAATGTTTTGAAATGATTATTTTAAGTATACTTATCCACATTTGAACTACTATCGATAAAACTTTTGTTATAATATTTTAGAATTTTCTTACTACTATCATTACACCTGTCTTCCTACTATCAACTTGTACTTTTGCCTATTATGTGTAGTGACGTAATCTACTTCATTTCACTGTGATTATGACTCACATTGCCTTGATTGGTTTAACATTTTCATATAAATATTCATGTATATTAGAGTAAAGCCTGATGACGATCTAATCGAAAACAATATTGTTCGCTTACACGTGTTGCTCTATGATCTAATGTATCCATAAAACATATAAATTTCATTTTAAGAAATCAAATCAGATGATGAATACAACATAAACACGCTTATTCGGCAACGTTTTATGTATCTTTGATCATCTCTATTGAATGTTTGTATTAACTTTATATATACAAACCTAAGATCAGTAAAAGATAAATGACTGTAATAAAAATTTGTATTCAATAATTTCATGCTGTTGCAAAATTGAAATAGAATGGCAGGAAATTTACAGGTATTTTGGACCATCAAAAATGTATTCTTTTTCATTATAATTTAGTATTTTGCGAATATTAAACTGATTATTCATATCATCAAAACTGTAACATGTCTATCCAGTTTTGAACCGCATGAATGCATCCTTTAAAATGCACTTGCTTTTTGAAGAAAGCATACTACAAAAATTTTTTTTCGATCACTTTAGAAATTACGTTTATCTATATGAAATCCTAGACGAAAAATAGCTCATGATATTTTATCCTGTTTATAAACGAACCAACCATTTGTCAGTTACTTGCTTAACAATTTAGAAAGTATAAAAACTAAAAAAATATTTGACAATGCTACTCATTATTTACTTTGGTCTGAGAAAAAAATTAATACAACTTACAGTAAATTTATATCCATTTGGGACACGTTCTCTATCCAAACTTTCTGTTGCAATTAACTTTCCATGTTCTGTTAAAACGAATAAGTGTTTATATTGTTCATATTGAGTTGACGACCATTGTATTCTATAGTTAACTTTTCCATTTTGATTAGCATCTTTATCAATGGCTACAATTCTACCAACTGTCGAGTTCGATGGATTTTCTTCTGTCACCTGAATAAAATGAAGATATATATGCCAAATAATTAGGAAATAAAACTGTTATAAAATATGAGTCAAGTTTAATAGTTTCAGTGCTTGTTTCATGTCATAAATACACACAGCACTGTAATCATTTTATTAAAGGTAAAATGAGAATTCAACGATAACATTGTACTGACTGAACAACAGTGATAGGAAAACTCAAATAATTTTGAAAAGTCAAATTAAACCATGATCAAACTAAGATAATGTGTATTTCGGTTATTAGAGTAATGTGGAATAAATCCAATCAGAATAATGTTGCACTATATGCTTCAAGTAATATACTAGATAGAAAAGTAAATAAGTAACTTTGTAAACGAGTCTGGATACTTTCTACTTCTATCATAGTTGTTTACGACAGTAGTTGATGAAACATTTTATACACTTACTCAAATTATTCATCGATTCAATAACACTCAAAAAGGGGACTCACTTCCGTATATATATATGAACATATACATATATACTCTGACTACTGATCTGATATCAAAGCAAATGGATACTTAATATTCTAACAATGATGAGTGCAGTTAGATTTATTCGATTACAGATGAAATGCATTAAAAGAAATACTCTTTTTCTTCTTCAAGAAACATATCTTTAATCTAGATTAATTAAAGTCATCAAAAACTAAGATAAGAAAATATTTTCAGTACAGAAATCACATTTCGGCTTTGCTTATACCAGCATCGTTATCCATATGACAAAACAATTCGTTTTAAATCCACATAGACTAGCAGTATATTTATGAAATGAAACTCTCTAAATTTAATAAGCTACACTAAACAACAACAAATGACTGAAAAAAATTTATAGTATTACTAAATTCAACCTTTTACAAATTAAAAGATTCACATTCAGTTTGAAATCTAAAACTTGAATATTTAATTCTCTAAATGAAATTATTTTATTGATGTATCTGGTTTGATATTTTACCTTCAATAGTCAATATCAACTGTACTTTCTTTCTTTAACACTTCATATAGGTTTATTAAGAAAATAAATAACTTTGATACATTCACACATGATATTTATATGGTTTGCAAATAAAAATGCAAATACAATATCACGATTATAAAACAAAAACTGCCTGAGCTTATTTTAGTGATAATAACAAAGTTAAACTTAACTGGTTGCATCAATCTAGATGCATTATTCAGTGTTATTTTCAATCTAAAACTACACAAATCCATGACTCCACTAGAATGTTTGTGGTTTTTGTTTTTCTTAATATAATTGATTGTTGTCAATGTATTACAGATAAATATTGGTTAAAACAATTAAGAGTACAGAATGGATATTTTCAGTCAGACTCACTATAATTTGATTAAAGCAACAATGAGAATATCCACTAATCAGAATTTATGCCTAAAAACAATCAATTCAAGTATTTTCATCCGAAACTTCTCGGTAGTTGGATACATTTTATAATTAGAATATGCATTGAGTCAAATAGTACTTGTACTGTTTTACCGTTAGCTAAGAGGATTTCTGGAAAATATCATGCAACTGCGGAAAAAAATGACAATAAAATCATATATTTTCTGCATCAAGTAATTCTTTTAGACTGAATGAAACATGAATTAGATGTATTTAATTTCACCAAATTTATATCTTTTCAGATTTTAGATTTATCTTGTCTCCAGTTTACAGTATGTATGTTCTTGTCCAAATAGTCATGTTTGTCCGCCCATAGAAATGCCTTTTCTTCATTTATATTAACTTTGAATTGGTTGATAAAAGAATGTCACTGTATCGGGAATACAAAACACATATATGAATAACACATTTTCAGATGTGATCAAACAAAAGATTTTGTTTCTTTAAAATGAGGTTTTTGTATGTTCTTTTTTTTAACTGTCGGAAAAATTCAAAAAATGAATGAGCTAAATGAATAATGCCTGACCAAGAAAGGAAATACAAGCCTAGAGAATTATAATAAAGATCATCCATTATAGAATCACATATGCTACTACTTATCTAGTATTAATTGAAAAATACTTACAACAAATTTAAAAAGGATGCAGATATATATCTTTATTGAAAGCAAATCAATAGAATTTTTCATGCATAAAGCATCGATGAACAGAAATGTCATAATATTGATTTTTGATCGTAGATTTCGGCGTAACTATTGACATTTACTACAAATAAAATAATAACAACATCGGACTACATGTAATAGAGTCGATGCTATGAATAAAGTCAAATGTCACTAACTAATTAAAGTATGTTGTGTCATACTTTTCCCTTTGAAAGTTAAGCCATATCTCTTAATGCTGTAATTCATTGAGTACAGGGTAAAGAAATAATCTCTCCAAATGTACTATAATTATTATTTTATAACATTACATAGGTATCACCTTACCATCAACCTTCTAATAATCACTTTCATGTTTGTGGATTGAAAGAAGTTAACTTTGAATATAATAATTCATTACAAGTTTAGTATGAGAGTGTAAGTTTTCAGTATAGTTGTAGTGACTAAAATTTATTGATTTTCACATGTATAGAGTCATCATTTCTGAGTACATTGACTTACGTTTCGTTAAACATCGAAGAATTCTTTTTTGAAAGAAACATAGAAGGAAGTAAAAATCTTCTTTTTAACTTGTTAAATACAAGCAGAGAGTTAAGGACAATGGAGCTAGCTGTTTAGTGCTTCTGTAGTGATTCATCAGTTTATCTGTGATTAAATAAAATTGAAATCAATAAACCTTTCATCTTAATGAATTTTTTTCAAAAACTCTGAGATTTTTACACCATTTTTACAGTTCAGTTTGACAGATACAACAGATGAAACAGTGTCATTTGTCTTTATTGTATTGCTATTGTTGCATATGGAATGAATATTTCAAATTCTGTCGAAAAAACAACGATTTAATTAGTCATTTGAAGCACAAAAGAATATGTCAACCAAAATACAACATGTTCAACTAACTGACTGAACATTTAAGAAATTATCAAAACATCTATTTTTTTTTATTTTCAGGTAAATTTCGTAATGGAAATATTTATCCAAAAGTATTCACAGCATATATATCTATGTCTGTGAAACTAGATAGAACAAAACAATCCGAAAGATTTTTCGTCTAAATTAGTTATTCGATTGTGATTAATAAATTAGAGGAAAAGATAAAAATTTTCTCTTCGTGTGAATAACACTAAAATTCTGTTTCTTTTCTCAGATAAATTGTCAAAAGTTAAATAAAAACATTTTAAATTTAACAAATATACAAAATGTTTCCTGTTCACTTAAACAAATATATACACACAATGTATTATGATGCGATATATAGATACTGTCGAATAAATTTTTCAAAATTTTGTTTTCAGTTATTCAAAATGAATTGAGATATTTAATTTACAAAATTAAAAAAAAACTAAACTATCTTTATACAGATGTGTCAAACAAGTTGTTTTAATTTTATTATTAATTAAAATAAATGCATGATTTATATAACAAAATTTACGATATAAAGCATTAGGAGTGTGTTGTTTGTCGCAATTAAAATTGTTCGTTTTGTTAATGAGAGGGATAGAAAGAAAATTGAAAATGGAAGAATATAATGGATGTTTTCGGAAATTTTTGTGACTGATTCAACACAATAATAATCTAATATGCCATGAGACAGAAATATCTTTGGTTTGTTTGTTAGCCGTCATGAAGAACAATGTCCAGTGCCGTTTAATATTGAGTAGGTCAAGAGCTGAATTCATTAAATGGCGAAAATAATCAACATCAACCTCAAAAATTTGTTTGTCGTTAAAATTTGCACTGATTTTCTATAAAAGGATTTAAGAACCAACATGAATTACTCCATGTGAATGAATCTTCAGTGAAGAAGAGTTTCAAAAATATCTTGGTTTAAAATATAAATGTAGTTTTCCGTAATAAATCAATAATTAACTGTAAATCAGCTTTATTTATTTTTTGATAAAGTTTCTTGAAGACAGAATTCTGAATCATTTTCTAGGTTATGTCAAATATTTATGCATTCTTTTTTGTGGTGATCGTAATGAAAGATAATGTCACGTGACTGCTAACCGGTTAGGCATATTACATTTCCTACTTATTATATCACCACTCAAGTAACAATTATAACTTAGTGGCATCTACAATGAGAAACATACGAAAAGCAAAACAACACAAATTTTATCAGCTATTGGTAGCGCAAGATAAAACTATTCTCCATTATTACGGCCAGTTCTTATATTATATTATATTATACATTTAGCGCAAAAGTGCGATTGTGAATTAGTATGGTTTTTAATTAAAGAGAGAAATGGCTTCAGTATGATGATATTCTTTGCCTATCGAGTAGATAAAAAGTCTGAGTTTTAACTCTCAATGTCACACGTAAAAATATTATCAAATTATCCGCATGAAGCTCTCTTACCGCATCTACAAATGTATAGATGAAATTAAATTTATTTGTCTGAGTGAAAATAATTAACCCATTCCGGTCTCTTGTTCGAAATTTATCTATTAATCTTATTGTGTAACGTAATTTTAGCAAACGTTTACTTTTGGTGAATTTCAAAGAAGATTTATTTGCACAAACCAAGTTTAGATTTACTGGTTTGAAAAATTCAGATCGTTAGGAAAATCATAGTCATCATCATTAGAAATTCATACATTTCAATGAGTACAACACTAAAAAGGAATAATTCTTAGCAATTTCGTTTTGATTTTTTATGCCTGAATTTTTAGTAAGAATGGTTAGAAGAATGTTAGAGGCCTGAAAATACTAAAGGAAAAGATATGAAGAGTTAATTAGGAATATTCCAAGTTTAATAAACCTATAATTTCCTAACTACTTGTACCTAATCGGTCGTCCATTTTCAAAGATTAGCTGTCAATACACTCAAGATATATGTTTTTAGACAAATTATTAGGTCTCTTATTCTGTTACAGTGATTTTCAGTGAGTACACGGAAAGCGTTCTTAAGTTCCAGTGATTGCGTAT